TCCCTTTTAGAGATAAACAGATTGATTTTCAGAGAGGACAATTAACTCACCTACTGCCACACAGCAGGTGAGAGACAGAGCCAGGATTCACACCAGGACTGTTGATCTGACTCACTGGCCTGCACGTGCGTTCTCTGTTGTTCCTCAGTCTCCAGGGGACTCTGCTCTCTGACTTTGCTCTGGGTACCTCCCCTCAAGGCTGTCTTTCTGGGGAGGTTCTGGAGGCAACAAGACTTGCTAAGGATTCGATCTAAAACTGTAATCCTCTGTTCCTGTGATTCCACGTTGTTGCCTCCAAATAGAGTCCTTGGCTGAGGTAGGACCCCACCCGGTCGCCACCAGAGGGCACCAACGGGCTCAGGAGTCCAGGGCTATCCAGGTGAGGGAGCGGAGAGAGCTCTTTCTCATTTTCTAGAGATACAGAGGGGCTCCTGAGTTTGGAAGGTGTCCTCACTAGATTCCGGGGAGCCCCTGCCCTCTTCCAGTCTCTGCCAACTGAGATCTGGCTGACCCTTTTCCAGTTCCTGCCTATTCAGGGAGTCAGGTTTCCTTGGCATGGGTGTCCAGGAAGTCAGGGTCTCCTTGCTGATGATCTTAGGCCTGGTTTGGCTATGCTCTGTCCCGAGCCCTCCACTGGGCTCCTCCTCCCTCAGACACAGTGGTGAAGTGACCAGAGTCACTTCTGTCACCTTCCCTCAGTAACTCCACAAGCTAGATGGGAGTGCAGCCAGGAGATATCCAAGAGTCCAGAGAAGAGAAGGAAGAGCCTGGGGCCACACAACCTGCCTGTAATGAGAAGGGAAGAGGGACAGAATTCCAGTCTGGACAGGATTGAGGGGGTGAGGGCCAGGAAGGAGCGCCCCAGGCTCCTTCTACCCTGCAGCCCATCCCCTCATTCCTGAGTGTCCCCCTTCCTCTAGACTCCCAGTGGAGAGGAGCCCATCCCCAAAGCCACCAGATTTCTGCTGAGATCCCACCATCCTCCCTCCCCCACCCGAAGGCCCGCCCACCCACCTCCTTCTCCAAGCTTAGCCACTTGGCTGTGCCCACTGCAGGCCTGCCCTCCCACACCCACCTCCACCCCCAGGCACTACAGCACACCATGGTGGCCAGCCTTGCTGGCCCAGAGCTCAGGACAGTCCTAGTCTGTATGGTAGGGCTGGTCATCCACGATTGGCTGGAACTGCCTCCCTGCTTGCGGGCTCAAGGTCACCCTCCTTTCTTTCCCAGCATTGCCATTCGACCTTTGTTCCTCCTGTCTCACCTTGAGGCAGGAGCTGGAGGCTAGATGCCCAGCCTGCAGAGGGCAGAGGATCCTGGGGGGAAGCCAGGCCTTTGGGCCCTGGACATTTATTTACTCAACAAATGTTGAGCATCTACAGTATGCCAGGAGTCCTGGTGTGAGGCTGTAGGATAAGCACAGGACTGCTAACCACAAGTTCAGAGGTTCAAACCCACCAAACATTCCTCCCAAACCTATATAGGCACTAAACAAGATGGACAAAATCTCAGCTCTTCCAGACCTCACAGCCCAGCGGGGAGACAGACAAGAAATAAACATTCACACAAATAATGCAAATTTATGTCTGGGTTCGGGAGAGAATCCTGGACCAGGAGAGGGAGGCACATAGCCTCAGTTTACTTATCTTCAAAACGCAGAAAAATATAAATACGCCCAAGCACAGGGGTTGCTGAGAGGCAGCCCCCCCAGGGCCCTGGCCCCCACAAAAGAGGGATGCTACAATTCCCACTGCGGAAGTTAAAGGAACCAGAGCTGAGCATTCCCAGGAGAGCACCCGATTTCACAGAGCTTTGAGGGGTCCTCCTGGGGTGAGGGACCCTAGTTCTCAGCCACACCACAGGACTTCCTGGGCCCCTGCGGTAGTCAGGGGCTGGAGGGGAGGAGGGGCCGGTCCCCAGGCTTCCTCTCCTTCTCTTCTCTGCCACACCCCCCTGCTCCTGACCACGTGGCACCTCTGCGCCCCAGCCCTGGGGGAGGGTGGTGCTTGGCCTGGGGGCTAGGGAAGCCAAGGACAGGTGGGTGGGATTGGGGGGGAGTACCGCAGATCCGGCCTCCTGAGGAGCAGGAGCGATTGGCCCCGCCCGTCAGCCCCAGGGCGGCAGGGAGGGGTTGCTGTCCCTTTAAGAGCCTTCTGGCTGCTGGGAGCAGATGGCCAGGCGGGCAGGGGCCCCTTGTCCTTTGTGTGGCTTTGCACAAAAGAGGGGGCCAGCTGGGGAGGGGGCTGCTGCAGCAGGTGGGAGAAGTGGGGCCTTGTTCTCCCCATCCTAGCCCTGCACTATTACCCCTTGGAAAGAGGATTGCTCACTGGGAACGTGCCCCCTCAGTCGCCCCCAAACTCCTCTAACACATCTTGTGGTCCATCTCTTATGCAGATGTCTCCCCACACCAGGACCTGGGGACCCCCACCCTGAGACACCCACAAAGGAATAAACCTCTCCCTGCCCCCATGTCCAGAGTCTTTTGGCCCTGTGGAGATAGGGTCTTATGGGGTTTGGAGGGGGGCAGGGGCTGGGGGCTTGGGAGGGTGGTTAGCCAGCGGGTGCAGGACAGTCTAGGAGGAGGGAGGCAAGAAATGAGCTGGATGCTGAGACTGGGGGAGGGGGAGGGCAGCTAGGCCCTGGCCCCCTAGGTAGCAAGCTGTGTGTGTGTGTGTGTATGTGTGTGTTTTGGGGGCTGTGTGTGTGTTGGGGGGAGACAAGAGAGGCCCTGCCTCCTGGGAGGGAGTCTGGGGGCAGGGCAAGATGGAGGCCTCCATCCTGGGAGAGGGCGGTGATGCTGCGATGAACGCCTGCCAGGCAGGAGGGGACAGAGATGGGATTTTCTAAGGGTTGTAGTTACTGGGAGGTTGGGAGAGGGATGGCATCCTGCCATTCTGGAGGGGTCACCTTGGAGCAGAGCCCCTTAACTCAGACCTGCCCTTGGCCCATTCGTTCTCCTCCTTTGTCCAGACCTCCCCACCCTAGGGCTTGGTGCCCAATCCTTGATTTACGAGAAGGAAAAAGGCCCTGGAGCCCTGGCCTGAGGTGTACCGGGCAACGTGGCCGCGGACTGGGTGGCCCCCGGCGACCTGACAGCGCCGCAGCTGGGTGGGGTAGTGTCTGACCTGGCCTGCGGTACGCAGGAACCCCCAGGAACAGGCTGCCCCTCCGGGTCGTGTCCTGACCGCAGCCCCCAGTCGACTGGCCACAGGCAGTGGGTGGGGGCGGGGATCCCTGGCTGGGCCCAGGGCTGCTTCTAAATTTAGGAATCTGATTACAGAGTGGCCGAGAAGGGAAGGGAGAGGAGACGCGGGTGCAGGCTCGGCTCTGTCTGGGCACCTCCGGGTGTGCCTAGTGGAGGTGTGTCCAGAAGGCTCGGGCTCCCGACTAGGAGGGGCAGCGGGCAGGGGCTTCGGCCTGTGTGCTCGGCAGCACGTGTCCGGGGCGGCAGGGACAGGCACGGGCGCCGCACGAGCTCAGAGCCGCTACCGGTGTGCGCGCTTGGCTCTTTGTGTGCCTGGCAGGGTGGCTGGGTCTAGCTTTGAAAGTCTCTGCCCACCCCCTCCCCCATCTCCGTCTGTGCCGCTCTACCCGCTTCCCTGTCTGTCACTCTGCCCGTGCTGGGGGGGGGGGGGAGAGGACGCTCCCCATCTGGGGTGTCAGTGAACCTAGGGAGGAGCGCCGTGGTGCAGCCCTTTCCCTACACCTTCCATCACTCTCCATCCCTTGGCCCCTGATTCACTGTTTTTGGGGTACAGACTGTTGCAGTAAAAGGGAATACGGGTGAGCCCTGGGGACCCATTGAGCCAATAGAAGCCAGGCTTTGGCCCGGTAGCTCTTGGAGGAATGCTTTCCTCACCCTGTCCTGCCTCCCATCCGCTCGGGCCCCCAAAGGCGCATGAAGGGGGGTCCCCCTGCGGAAGGGGGGGCGGGGAGTTCCTTGGCAGGAAGGGAAATGAAGGAAAAGCTGGGCTCCACCCGGGCGGGCAGGCAGTCGGCCTCAGGGCCCCTAGGGCAGGCGGCGGTAACCAAAGTCCACTGATGTGTGGGGTCGGTGTGCGTGTGGGTGGGGCTGACCCCTAGTTCCTTTGAGGGGCAACGCGGTCTCCCCCTGGGGCATATCTGGAAGCCAGGGAACGCAAAGGGGCCCGCAAAGGGAGCTCTCCCCACCCGCGTACTGACCCCACCCCCTGAGGTCTAGCCCCGGCCCAGGCCCCGCCCCCGGCCCTCCTTCCCACCCCAGGGCCAGATGTTCAGCTGGCGGAGGCATCGGCTGGGGGAGGGGTGCTGAGGCCGCAGCCGGCACTACTTCCCTGCCAGCAGCTTCATTGTGTGCGCGAGGAGCGGCGGCGGAGCGGGCCGGCCAGCCGCAGCCGGAGCAACGGGTAGAGCGCGCCGGGGAGGGTGTGAGGCGGCGCCCGCGGCTGCGCTCCGCCCGCCTTTCGACAACTCTGCCCCAGCACCGCGCGCTGTGCGCGCCGTCCCGCCGCCGCCCCCGCCGGTTGCCGTCGCGGGCAGAGGGCTGATCGGGTCAGGGTCCCTGCCGGGGATCCAGGGCATCCCAGGCGCAGCCCAGAGGCGCGGAGCCCGCTGGGGCGCACGTTGCGCTGCAGCGCTCGCCCACTGCGCGGCGTGGGCAGGCGGGTGGTGGGCTCCGAGGTACCTCGAGGGCAGGGCGCCTGTCTTCTCTGCAGGAGCCCCAAGCCCGTGGGTCGGACAGAGCGAGCGCGCTCCAGCCGCGCGGACCGAGCGCTCATTCCCCACGTACCCCACTTCTGCACAAACTTTTCTGACGTCCTTGCCCGTGGGGGTCGCAGAGAGAGCTGGGGTTGCCCTTTGGGCGCCCGTCGCACCGGACCCCAGCCACGCTAACCTCCTGCCTCGAGCAACCTCAGTGGCGACCTCTCCAGGCCGGGCCGGGCACGGCACCCGGGGCGATCGCGGTGAGTCCCATTGCTCTCGCAAGGCTCCCGCGCCCCCCGGGGCAGCTGAGCGGGGTAATGCCTTCGGTGATGGAGAAGCCGAGCGCGGGCTCCGGGATCCTGTCCCGCAGCCGAGCGAAGACGGCCCCCAACGGCGGACAGCCCCATTCGGAGGATGACAGCAGCGAGGAGGAGCACTCCCACGGTAAACCCGGTGGCCTGGGGTTAAAGGCGTATCGATCCTGGTGGCGCGGCGGGCGTGGTGGGAGGAGTGGAGCGGTAGTTTCCGACTATGAGCTGATTCTGTTAATGGCTCCTGTCCCCTTGCCCTGGATTGGAGCCTCTCTCTTGCTTCTCCCCTAAGCCTGGGCTCCTAGCATTGCTCTGGAGGTGGTGGTGGCCGCTAGCCGTACCCTCAGCCCCTAAGATTGTTCTTGAGAGCTGAAGGGAACCCCAGACATGCTTCCGTCCTCATACTGGGGCTCTTATACCATGCCACTTTGCAGCGGATTGAGGTCTGACAGGCAGGGACTGGAAAGGCATCCCCACGCCCAGCTGGGGAGGCTCATGTGCCTTGGGTTCCCTGAAGGGCTGGGGTCAGCTCTCGGCCCCCCAGCCCATAGCCACAACAAAGGGCTCTGCCTGGCCTGGGCTTGCAAACTGCCCCCTTACCTCTTCACACCTCCCCACCACCAACACCACCACACACACACAAACACACCCCTCCACTGTGACCTCCAGTTCTTCTTCCACTGAGGGGGAAGATCAAGGAAAAGTGAGCCTTGTGGAAGGTGGGGGCCATGGGCGGTCAGGGAGGAGAGCTCTAGGCCAGCCACCTCCCCTGCCACATCCTCCCGCCTCCCTCCCTGAAGTCCTGACTGCCTCCCCCTGGCTCCACAGACAGCATGATCCGAGTTGGAACCAATTACCAGGCCGTAATTCCGGAGTGTAAGCCTGGTGAGTGACAGCAGAGGCTGAAGGAGAGTGGGGAGGGAAGGGAGCAGAGGGGCCCTGGCTGGCTCCCATCAGAGGACGGGCAGGCGGCCCGGGGGGGTGGCCGTGTGGCAGGACTCTTTTTCCTGCTCTGCCTTCCTGTCTGAGTCTCTGCCCTGTATTCCCTTCTGGGCCCCATCTCCCGGGCCCCAAGCCTCGGCCGCCCTCTTGCCCTGCTGGTTCCAGGCCACAGGGTAATCTCCACGCCTTCTCTGTCTGCTGCTACCTTTCAGAGAGCCCAGCACGTTATAGCAACAAGGAGCTGAAGGGAATGCTGGTGTGGTCGCCCAACCACTGTGTATCTGATGCCAAGCGTGAGTGGGCGGAACCCTGGGGTGGAGCCCTAACTGGGTGATCCCCTATCTAGGTTCATGTTAGCAGTGGGCTGGAGACTGAGGGCCTGGGGCTCCTGGGTGGGGACCCCTCTCTGAGCAGAGCCTGGAGCAGGGGCTGTAACGCCCTCCTCTGAAACTTACTCCTTCCGATCCCTGCAGTTGACAAGTATATTGCGATGGCCAAGGAGAAACACGGGTACAACATTGAGCAGGTGAGGCTGCTGAGTGGGGATTGGGGGGTGGGTGGGAACGGCACCGTGCTGGGCCAGCTGAGCTGAGCTGCCCTGCTGTCCTGGGCTAGGCGCTGGGTATGCTTTTGTGGCACAAACACGACGTGGAGAAGTCATTGGCTGACCTGGCCAACTTCACCCCATTCCCGGACGAGTGGACTGTAGAGGACAAAGTGCTGTTTGAACAGGCCTTTGGCTTCCATGGCAAGTGCTTCCAGAGGATCCAGCAGATGGTAAAGCCCCCCGCTCCTCTGGCCACGCCTCCAGCCCCCAGCCCCAGTATACCTCATCCCTTCAGGCCGGCCCGGACCCCAACTGCTGATATTGCCACCCCCAGCTGCCTGATAAGCTGATCCCCAGCCTGGTGAAGTATTACTACTCGTGGAAGAAGACCCGTAGCCGAACCAGCGTGATGGACAGGCAGGCCCGGCGACTGGGGGGCCGCAAGGACAAAGAGGACAGGTGGGGCCATGAGTAAGCGCACGGTGGGCAGAGTTGGTGTGTCCTGGCCCCAGCCTCATTTCCTTCGTGTCTCCGTATCACCAGTGATGAGCTGGAGGAGGGCCGAGGAGCCGTGAGTGAGGGAGAGCCAGATGCTGGAGACACTAAGAAAGAGGTGAGGTCCTACAGCTGGTCTTGCCTGGCCCCCATACCTGTTTGGACTCTGCATCCACTTGGTCCTCTCCTTCCCTTGCAGCCTCTGCTTTCCCGGCCCCTGAATACCCGCCCAGGCCCCGGGAAGAAGGAAGTCCAGGTGTCGCAATACCGCCACCATCCGCTGAGGACCCGGCGGCGCCCACCCAAGGGCATGTACCTGAGCCCCGAGGGCCTCACCACTGTGTCCGGAAGCCCGGACCTTGCCAATCTTACACTTCGAGGCCTCGACTCCCAGCTCATCTCCCTCAAGCGCCAGGTATGGGGGTAGGGAAAGAAGGGCCTGGCGGAAGAGGGGTGGTTAGCACCTGGGAACTAAGTTTTTTGGGATGTTTGAGGTCTCAGCAAGATGGTGCAGGTGCCCAGCCTGAGAGATTGTGGGTGATCTGTGGTTCTTTTCAGAGTGCATGGTAGGTTCCAGGGCTTTGTTGAAGTAGGAGAGGGATCTTCAAGGGGACATAGGGTGCTGAGAGTTGATGATGGGGTCTTTTCTGGGATGGAGCTTAATGGCTCTTCCCGCTGTGGCATTCACAGGTGCAAAGCATGAAGCAGACCAATAGTAGCCTCCGTCAAGCCCTGGAGGGCGGCATCGATCCGCTCCGGCCCCCGGAGGTAAGGCTGCTTTTCAGGTTTGGGTGCAGAATGGGGTTCTCTTGGGGAAAGTTTGTATTTCCACAGTGCTGAGTCCAAGCACTTGTGTATGTATGTACATTCCCTGCTCTGCAGGCCAACACCAAGTTCAACTCCCGCTGGACCACAGACGAGCAGCTGTTGGCTGTCCAAGGTGGGTTGGACCCTGGGGAGAACCGAACATCTATTTCCCTGCCCTCCAAGGAGCTCTGGGGGTAGAGGGGAAGAAGCCGCGAGTTGGCTAGCTCTGAGGGGTGTTCATGCTCTGCCCTTTCGACCCTTGCAGCCATCCGTAGATATGGCAAAGACTTTGGGGCTATTGCAGAGGTGATTGGGAACAAGACTTTGACCCAGGTGAAGACCTTCTTTGTAAGCTACCGGCGCCGCTTCAATCTGGAGGAGGTACTGCAGGAATGGGAGGCCGAGCAGGATGGGGCCCCTGGAGCCCCAGCTCCCATGGAGGAGACTAGAAGAGCGGCTCCTTTGCCAGCCCCAGCCCTAGAGGAAGATGATGAGGTGAGAAGGGGATGAGAGCCCAGAGGAGAGGCCCCGCCTCAGTCCTGGTCCTGAAACTGGGCCGAGGGTGTGAGAAAGCCTGGGTCTGACCCTTTTCTTTCCCCTTCAGGTCCAGATTACATCCGTCTGTACATCTGTGCCACGGTCGTTGCCCCCTGTACCACCACCCCCTCCCCCTCCCACCTCCCTGTCACAGCCTCCCCCACTGCTGAGGCCACCTCTGCCCACGGCGCCCACTCTGCTTCGCCAGCCGCCCCCCTTACAGCAGGGCCGCTTTCTCCAGCCCCGGTTGGCCCCTAACCAGCCACCACCACCACTAATCCGCCCAGCTCTGGCTGCCTCCCGCCACAGTGCCCGCTCGGCTCCCCAGCTTCCACCGACCCTGATGGGAGCCCCTCTGGAGCCTCCGGCGCCATCACTCTGAGCCCAGAGGTCCTTCACCAACCAGAGGTTCCGAGCCCCTTTGCGGGATTGTCCTTGGGCACCTCCGGCAGCGCTGAGGACAGAAGAGGGACTAGGGCTTTGGCCTGGTCTTGGACACACACCTGTCTCCCCACCCAGCTGGCCTGAGGGTCCTCTTTCTGCTTCCTGGCTGGGACTGGAAGGCCCCTGCCCTTTGTGTGGGGAGGTAGCGACCATAGCGTGTCAGGAGAGGACCAGCACCTGTTGGCTGGTCCCCCTCTTTTAGCAATAAGTCTGGGGTGAGCTGGGAGGGGGGTTTGCGGGCAGAGGCCAGCAGGGAATAATATGGTGGATAGAGTGCTGAGGGTGCCTGCTGTACCCACTGCCCAAGCTTGGAGAAAGGGGATTTGGGTTATTTTTTAACATTTTTTAAAAATAAAATAAAAACGCCCAAGCTCAGCAAGTCATCTTTCCGTGTGTAAAGGTGCTGACAGTGCCCACCCTGCCCAGGGCCTATCCAGTTCTCCTGTTGGGTGAAGAAAATGGGAAGCAGCAGTTCAGATTCCAAACATTCTCTTTATTACGTGTTTGATCCAGAGGAGAAACGAAGTGCAGGAGGGGGACTGGGTGGGGAGGGGCCACCTTGCCTGGGTGCCCCCGGCCCCCACCCCTTTGGGGGACCAAGCCATGCCCTCCTGGCCCCCTCAGAGCACCCGGGCTGTCCCAGAGGGGAGGGGAAGGGAGCCCTTGGTCTGAGCTGGAGCCCGCAGTTGGGGGCATGGGGCAGGAAGGCTGAGGTTGGCAAGGCCCCTTCCTAGGACCCCAGGACTCGACTGAGCCTGGCCTGGGAGGGAGTGGGGGTGATGAACAGGGGTGAAGTCATCATAAATCAAAAAGAAAAAAATAAAATAATAAAATAAAAAACCCATCACAAAAAAATGTACAACTCAGCTGAGGGCAGGGGCAGCCTGTGTGCAGGACTCCCTCCCCCCATTTCTGGAGAACAAACAGCAGAGAAATAAATTAAGGGATGCAGCGGCCGCCACCAGCCCAGCGCCCATAGCTCCCTACTCCCACACCGGCCACGCCCCCCAGCAGTCTCCACGTGGAGGGCAACAGTGTCGGGAAGAAAAGGCTGAGATGAGACAGCCACTGCTAGGGACTAGCTGGTGCCCAGATTAATGCCAACGAAGGGGAAGCGGCGGGTGGGGAGAGCGGGCTGGGAGGGGGGTGTGCTTCCAGACGGGGACCACCCAGAGGAGCCCATCTGCCCAGCAGCCCCCTCCCCGCCCCCTGGAGGGGGTGGAGAAGATGGCACAGACTTGAAGGGGAACGAATGTCCCCACAGCAGCTTGGGGAAGGAAATGCCCCGCTCTGGGAAAGGAGGGCGGGCAGAGGATACAGTGTGGAGGGGGCCAGGACCCCTCAGCCCCACCTCACAGCCCAGAACAGCCACCAGCCCAGTCCTGCCCCAGCCGCAAGCCCCAGGGGCCGGAGGTCGGGGGAAGGCCACCTCTGGTGGTTTGCTTGGGGGGAAGGGAGCGCGGAGCAGCCCAAAGTGGGCATGGTGGAGGGAGGACCGACAGGACTCCACTACTCTTGCCTGAGAGTGTTCCAGCCCGGAGCCACCCTCCCGGGAGACCCCAGAGATCCAGTCTCGACTGGCCCCATGGGGCAGCGAGGAAAGGTGGCCGCTGGGATTTTTTTTTTTTTTTTCTTTTTTCTTTTTGGTAATAAAAAATTTCTTGGTTTAGGAGAAATACTCTGTGCAACCGCAGTACCGAGGGGAACCCCGCCCAACTCACACTCCCCTTCCTTTGCCTCTGGGGGGGAAGAGGGGTCTCTGGGCAGGGTGAATGTCAGGGGAAGAAACCATCTCCCAGTCCCCACTGATGTGGAAGAACTGAGGGGCAGGGTGGGGAGGGGTTGTGCCAGCAGGGGGAGACACACTGAGTCCAGTCCGCAGTCTCGCCAGTGGCATCGCAATGGCCCCAGCAGCTAAGTCCAGCTGGCCGCCTCAGCCCCCAACCCCCCCTTCCTGGCAGCCTGTTAAAGCTTAAGCTCGTTGGCTATTTTGGAGGCAATGTTTTTGAAGGCCATGGAGGTGCCCGATATCCGCTTAAAGCGCACGCCGTTGAGGGAGAGCCGCGGCAGTTTGCAGACCTCCATCTCCCACTGCACGAAGTCATCATGGCCCGGCGCACCGTGCACACACAGCAGCATGTACTTCTCGTGTAGCTCACTCTGGCAGCTGTTGGCGTCCAGCACCTTCCGGATCTCACGCATCATCTCGTTGGGCTCCATGGAACTCGTGGTCTTCATGCTCCACGTGAAGCGCAGCGAGCGTGGCTTGGCCTCGCGGAAGTCTTCCTTTTCTTTGTCGTTGCCAATACCACCGCCGCCGCCGCCTCCGCCGCCCACCACGTGAGGTCTGCAAAGAGGGCAGAGGCCATGTCAGGTGGGGGGCGGCAGCACCCCAGGCCAGGGTGGCTCCCCTGGCAGGCAGGCAGACCCTGAGACCAGAGAGGAGAGGAAGGGGGTGCAGCCACCCTCTGTTCTGGGAGGTAGAGTGCTTAGAAGCTAGATTGAGGGGGCCTGAGGGGCAGCCCACCCACCCTCCATCTCTGGGGACAACCCCTGGAGAGGCCATAGTTCCATGCAGTTGCCGCTTCTTTTCTGGGACAAGGGGAAGACATGGGAACACTGTTCAGTGGTCCCAAACACGCAGACTGTCTAGACAGAGGAAGAAACTGAGGCATGAAAAGGTGAGCCCGTGACCAAGTAGACTCTACAGCCCCAAGCCCAATCCAGGGCTCCTCCTTTCAGAGCACACCGGAGGGCTGGAGTTGGAGGCTGGGGCTGGTCTGAGGGGCCAGGCAGAGCCAAGTGGCAGAGGAAGAGAGGAGCAGGCAGCTGGTGGCAAGCCCAGTGGCCCAGGCAGGGCCAGTACAGGTTCCAGCCCTCTCACCTGAGCGTCTCCACCCGGTCTTTGCTTTCAGGTTCATTCAGGTTCCTCAAAAAATAGAGCGAGGGAGAGTTTAGTGCTGGGGCCGCTCGCTCCTTCCACCGCCACAGACCCAGCTGAGGGTGGGTCCTGGCAGGTGCCCCAGCCCAAAGGCCACTTGCCCATCACCTGGCAGGTCAACATGGCTCTGCAGCCTCTCACCCCAGCAGCCTGACTGTCCCTATCCAACCAAAAGCCCAGCACCCAGGCCTGCTCCTTCCCACTCCCAGAGATGCGAGCTGGGAGAGACAGGCTGATGGGTGGTGTGTGGCACACACAGCCAGGCTCTCCGTCTGCACTGGGGGAGGACTGGGGGATGGGGGTGGGGGGCTTTTTCATCATTGCACCAGCGTTTTGAAACTGGGAGGAAAGAGGCAATCATGTTTTCTCTTGGTGGGATAAGGGGATGAAGGGTGTGTGAAGGCCTCTAACGGGAGACCCCAAGAGTCTGCTAAAGTGTTAAGAGGAGTGGCACATAAGGGCAATGAGGTCCAGCTTCGGAAAGGGAGAAGCTGCCTCCCTGTCTGCCTGCCGGCCATCTGAGTGTGCAGAGGGAGGGTGAAGGTAAAGGCAGGTAGACACTTGGGGAGGGTGGGCGGCTGTGCGGGTGGGAAGAGGTCTGGCCCTGCTGAGCGGCTTCTCCAGCTCCTGGCTGGAAGATGGGGGCCTGGAGCTGGGACACTGGGAAGTGTGGAGGAGGCCGGGATGAAGGAAGAGGGAAAGAGGAGCAGCAGCAGCAGCAGCACATGTAAAAGAGACGCACGGACACCGATGGCGAGGAAATCGCTGCCAGCTGGTGGGGGGGAGCAGGTTGGAGCCCCCAGCTGTTCTCACCAGCCCCACCTGAAAACCTGGTCCTGCCTCTCCGGGCAGCCCCCTGAGCCTGCACAGCAACAGACAGTCATGCAGTGACAGGCTGGGGATGAAAGGGGCAAGCCTGAAACTAGTCTTGACAGGGGGACTGCCAGGCATCCCAGCCCCAGCAGAGGGTCTGAGCTGACTCAGCCCTCAGGGACCTAGGAACCCCAACCAGGGCCTGGTCTACCCAGGCCTCTAGAGGAAGAGGATGGAGCCAGGAGTGGAAGGTCAGGACTGGGCCTGGGAAGGGCGATGGCAGAGGGAGGACAGGATCTCTCATTCTTGCTCAGGTCAGTGGGGCATCTACCTCCCAGTATCTCCAACTCTGTGGAACCATGCCAGGTGAACACAGAGGGAACTTGGCCCACCTAGACACTGATGGAGACTGAGGTGTGCTGGTTGTGTGTGTGGGGGGGGGGGGGGGGGAATTCTAGTTCTGCCAGAGCTGCCAAAAGGGGGTGCTGTGCTCCAATAGAGAGCAAACGCTCCTTGGGCCTAGAGGACTCAGATTGTCACCTTGGCATCCACATGTCCCTGTGGTACCTCTAAAGTCCTACCATCCCACAAGACAGGGGAAGAGGTCACACAGCTCTGAAAGTTGAGGGAGCCAGAGGAGGGAAGTCCAAGAGAACCCAGAGTGAAGTAGGATCCCAGTGAATCTCCTCATAGAGCATGCACACAGAGGGGAGAGGGACAAAGAAGGAACCCAACAAGGTGACCCAAACTCTGGGAGGAGGCCAGGACAATCTTAAAGGGAGAATTCCCTGAGAAAGTCCCCCTTGCTTGGGGACAGGCATAACTGTGGACCCAAGACCCTCATTTTCAAAGCCATGTGCCCTATGTGGGCTATGTACCCCCAACCCTGCCCATCTCTCAGGGCAGAGCGGGCAGGCCCTGTGCCGACACCCAATCAGAGGCAGGCTTCATCCCTTTAAGATGGCAGGAGAGGGCCACACAGACGCAGATAGCAGGTGCAGGAGGGAGCGAGAGCCAGAAGAGGGCGCTAATGATGGAGGCAGGACACAGGACGGACACACACACCCAGTGGGCTCAACGCCTACCTTCTGGCAAATCTGAAAGACAGATTTCTAAAAAAAACAAACAAACAAAAAAGACAAAATAAAAAAAGAAATAAAAAAACCCAACAAGACGGTATATGGATAAGCAGGTGGGGAGTGGACTTTATAGGTTTAGGGGCCACCTAGAGTTTGGAAGAGCCGCTCAGCGAGACTAGAGTTAGAAACATCCAGATCTGCTCCTGCCCCTCCCACTGCCTAGGCCTCTCTTGTCACCCAGGTACCTGTGTGCCAGGGCTGGCAAGTGGGGGGCGGGGGGGCGCGTGGGGCTCCGCCTGTGGAGCGGAGTGAAGGGCAGGGTAAGCCTCCGATTTCAAAGCCACCCACTGCTCCAAGGTGGGTGAGGAGGGGATGGGAGGAGCAGAGAACATCCCAAAAGGCAGAGCTCCTAGGTGCACACCTTCAGGATCCAAGTGGTCCAAAAGCCCACCCGCATCCTGACCCATACCCATGGTGCATCAGGAGGGCCGACTGGGGCCAACTGGGCCTTAGCCACTTCACTTCCAGGCTTCATCTGAGGAAACCCCAGGGCAGGCAGGCAAATGTACTGCAGCCAGCCCCTCACTCTTGGTTAAAATAACCACAACCACTGGGGGCACAGGGTAGACAGGGAGGGCAGGTCAAAGGGGGTAAGACAAGAGACAAAGGCACATGCTCCTTCCTGGCCCAGCCTGGCTCATGCCTCATGACTTTGCAGCTGCGTCACCAAATATAAGTTTCCATGGGAACCCAAGAGGGAAGAGGGGGGGCTTTTATTTTAGCATCTGAGTTCACACTCTCCTAGAGAGGAGGCGGCATTGGCCATCTGTTGGGGGCCAGAGAAGAAGGGGTATGTGGAGTTGGGGACGGGTCTGGGCACAGAAGATGCTGACAAGGACCACTACCACCCCTAGGTTGGGCCCAATTTCTTGAGCCTCCCCAGTCTTTCCTAACCCCAGGGCCCAGGCCCGGTTCTGGGTATTCTGTCTTCCCCACCTCAGCCTCGCTGTCTCCCTAACCTTCCTGCTCACCTGCGGACAAACTTGGAGGTGAATTTGCTGAAGATGCTCCCGGAAGCCCCTCGCCGGCCCTGGCTGTTGCCGGAGGGAGAGGCTGGGGTCACCCCGTAGGGTAGATTCTGCTGGTCCCGCACCTGTCGGAGCTGCCCGGCGTGGAAGGTGCTTCGACTGGACACACCTCGGGGGAAATTGGTTCGGTCTGGGGCTCCACCACTGCTGCTGATGTTGTGGGCGGAGGGGGAGGTGACAGGGACACGCTGCGGGGCTGTGCTGTGGGAAAAGAGGGTGGTGGGGAAACGTATCAGCAGAAAGAAAAGCCATCACCAGCCAGCGCCTGAGTGTCCTATGGTGGGACAGGGTAGAGGGACTCGAGGTCAGAGGCAGCCATCACGGAGCACACGGAAGGAAGGAGGTGACCGTGGAGAACACAGTAAGGAGGACATCGGGGTGGTGGGGAAGAGGGCGAGAGGAGGAGGCAGGACAGCTTGGAGAAAAGTGGCTCCTGGTAACCTCAATCTCAAGGGATACGACCGAGCAACCCTCAAGGCCCGAAGGCCTCAGAACACAGACTTCCTCCTGGTCCTTCAGGCCGCTTCCGGCATATCTGCCCTGAGTCTGGGAGGGAGAGTTAGGAGGAGTGGGCAGGAAGGCGGTCTGGGGCTCTCTCCACTTTCTGGATACAGGGGCCAAGGTGACAAGTACAGAACCAGACCCCAAAGTCAAAGGACAGAGTGCTGGAAACGGGGGGCAGGCTGAAGGCAGCAGGTGCACCAGCCGCCTCAGCACACTTGCCTGGGCCGCGGCACCTCACAGTTACTCTCCGTGGGGGGCAGCCCAGTGGCCTTGTTGGGGTGCATGGAGGCCGACATGGATTTCTGGTGCTGGCGGGGTCGGGCCGCAGAGACTGCGGCAGAAGCAGAAGCCGTGGAGGCCCGGGACCCTGGCATGGTTAGGCTAGGAGACAAAAGCAGCGGAGAGGCCCGGGTTAGGGGGGTGGGGGTGGGGGGAGTGGGGGGGGCAGGAGGCCCGAGTTAGGAAGGAAGGGCAGGGCAGAGCAGAGCTGGCCCTAGAAGCAGCACCGGGATGCAGATCAGAGCTGAGGGGAGACGAGAGGCAGGGTGAAGCAGCAGCTAGGTAGGCCAGAGTCCAAGAAGGGAACAGGCCTGTGGGCTGCACTGGGCTCCTAGGAACTTTAAGACTAAGATGTCACCTCTACAGAAGGAGTGGGGTGGAGCTCAGAGATAGTCTCAGGCAGCTTAGAGGCCTGTCTAGGGGAGGGAAACAGTGCGTTCCTTGTCCGCAGCCACCCTCACTCACTGTGCACCCCCTCAGATGAGCATCTCTTGATTCTACCCTGAGCTAGAATCAGTCAAACAAAGCTGCGGATGCTGACACTCTGCCGAGGGAAGCTACCAGGCCAGGCTGCAGTGGACAAGGGGGTGGTGAGGTGACCACAGAGAGCCCTGACTCGGTACACTACCAGAGGTGGGCAGGGAGGAGAAGGTGGGAGACAGGGAGAGACGGTGGGAAGCAGGGAGGAGGGAAGGGTGTATGGAGAGCTGGACAGAACAGAGCGGGGACAGAATTCCAGGGGCAGGAAAGGAGATGGCTCTTCTGACAGACGTCACTGTTGCAGGTTTCTACACCCCGCTCCTCGACTGTAAGGCTGGGCCCGCTCACCTGTCTTTGCCATTCTGGACAGAGGCCTGGCCAAGGCTAGTCCTCTCCAAAAGTGGGGAGTTCCTGCTTCGGTTTGTGCTGGTGGAGAGGACGCTGTTCTGTGGGGAATAAAGAGTGAGAGACAGACAGTCACCATCTCTCCCAAGTTCAGAGCCGGTTTCCGCTGCAAGCAGACACACTTGGCCTTTACTCTCATCATCAGGCTTTCTACTATGAGAACAGGAGGAAAGCCTGGGAGTCTGGAGGAAGAACAGCTGATGAGAGCCACCCTGTGGAGGGCAGAGGCTGGCGGGACTCACTCACCGTGGAGGGGGTGGGGGTGGTCTTCTTCCTCTCCAGGCCGGGCAGGGGGCTGGCGGGCACTTTGGCTGTGCTGCTGGCCTTCCGCCCCGACTCCCGGTCCTCCTCAGGCCGTTTATTTTCTGAGTTGTTGCTCTGCGTCTTCTTGGAGTAGGAATTAGATGTGGGAATGGCAGGACCAGCTGCTAGGCCAAAGGGGCGAGGGCAGCGGGTAAGGCCAGGCCCACCGAGGCCACATGCATGGTGCTCTCCTACAACCTTGCCAGCAACCCCACTGCACAGAGACGGAGGGAAGTCACATGACTGGTCCAAAGCCCCGCAACTACAGTGTGGCTAGAACTCAGCAGTGTCACCCAAAACCCCCAGAGTCTGTGAGCTCTCTAGAGAGGGGGGAGCCCTTTGGTACCCCCTGCAACCCTCAAAATCACTCACCCTGATCACTGAAACGCCGCTGCTTGGGGTTGGCCGAGACACTGCGCTGTACCTTGTGGGACGGGGACGGGGCACTGTTATTGGTCAGGTCAGCTGAAGGCCTTGGCTTCAAGGTGATGGTGTCGCCTTCCAGCTGCAAGGACAAGAAGGGCAGAAGTCAGGCAGAGACCCCAACAGATGCGCACACTCACAGTCTCAGCACCTGGGCTTGCGGGACAAAGCTCCCCACACAAGACCAGTATGTACCTGGGGAGACACGGGCCTTGCCACAGGCACCAGTAACCACAGACAGACACAGCCCTGTCCTCTAGAGGGCCACACGTCTACAGCACCACCTCAACAGCGGTCAAGGCAAGACCCTTGCAAGGGAGCCCATATCACAGGGAGAGGAGGGCGGGAAGACACACCCACTCCCAGAAATACCCAAGGACTCACACAGACACAGACACCCAAACCAACAAAACACTCACCAATCCTCCAGATTCACATACAGTAGGACAGACATACAGACCACAGACCCACAGACCCCAGTGCAAGTCCCAGCAATGACACAGAAACCCACAGAGATCCACATGCCTAGACACATACACAATCCCAGAGGTCACACTTCTAGAGACAAAGGGAAATCAAACACGTGGACACCATGCAGGGACGCCTCGGGTAACAGAGAGCCAATGACAGACTGACCTAGACCCAGTCTCAGCAGCGTGGACAAAGGATGACTGACCACCCAGCTCGAGACCTAGACCCTTCCAGTGATGGAGACCAGTGAAAGTAAGGATGGGAGGCAGCAGAGCAGGCTTCAAAGCAGCCAGCCGAAAGCACGCCTCCTGGGAGCCGGGCAGCTGCCCCCATGGGGCAAGGAGCTGCTGACTGGGAGAGGAGCAGGGGGTACACACCTCAGAGTTCTTATAGCCCAGGAGCAGGTAGGTGGCCATCACCTCGTTGTATCTCTGGCCCACCAGCGAGTCCTGGATCTCTTCCCGAGTGTAACCCATGGACACCATCAACTCTGCACAGGGGGACAGAGTTAGGCTGCTCCTGACTCCTAGACAGCCCGAGCCCACAGCCCAGCACGGCCTCACCTGTTCGTCGGGGGTCCTTGTAGTCAGGGACAGGTTCCACATAAGGCTTTAATTCATCATCTTCATGGCCCACGTTCATCCATCGATCTTTCATGATTTGCTGGAAAGGAAAGGGGGAGGAGGCAACTCAGCTGGGAGATTTCCTAAGGAACCCGGGGGTCTTCCTGGAGTTAGTTAGCAGGGCTCTCCAGGCTGTTCACCTCTAAAGTGCCTCTCTTGCTGGGATTGAGGATGAGAAATTTCTTGAGCAGGTTTTCACAGTCCGTGGACATGTAGAACGGAATACGGTATTTCCCTCTCAGGACTCGCTCCCGCAGCTCCTGCGGAGGATGCCAGAGTCAGACCCAGAGAAGGACTCTCAGGGCTTAGGACGGGCCAGGTGGACCTGATGAAGTCTGGTAGGAGGCAGATGACCTGTGGCAGTGCACTGCCCCAACGACGCAGTGACTTCCGGTGTCCCGTGCCCTCAAGTTTGGCCAGTAGAGGCCTACAATTCAAGAGTGCCTTGGCGCGACATATGTAAACCCAAATGAGCCCATTGCTTTAGAAAGGAATTGAGAAGACCTGGTGGCACAACTGGTGCTCGACTGCAAACCAAAAGGTTGGCGTGGTTCAAAGTCACCCAGCTGCTCTGTGGAAGAAAGACCTGGCAATCTGCCTCTGTAGAGATCACAACCTGGTAAACAGTAGGGGGCACTTCCACTCTGTCACATGGGCCACTATGAGTCAAAATCGACTCAATGACACACAACAAGAGCATGCTGGGAGCAGACCTCTGAACTGTTTCTACCTTTAGCAAGCCCCTTTTAGAGGCTCTGGCTTGGGAGAAATACAAAGGTAGCAAAGGTAAGAGGTCAGGAACAAGGCCAGAAGAGAGGAGAAGTAATAAAAATGACCTAAGCAGGCACCGTAGCCTACCTTGAGGTTCTGTCCATCAAAAGGCAGGGAGCCGCTGACCAGTGTGTATAAGATGACGCCCAAGCTCCAGACGTCGACCTCAGGTCCATCGTACTTCTTGCCCTGGAAGAGTTCTGGGGCAGCATAAGGCGGGCTGCCGCAGAAGGTGTCCAGCTTGTTCCCAAAGGTGAATTCATTGCTGAAGCCAAAGTCTGCAATCTTAATGTTCATATCAGCATCCAAGAGCAGGTTTTCTGCCTGGGGGACAAGATGGAAAATGTCACGGGACCAAGTGAACAGGAAGAAGCCTGTGGCCTGGGAGAAGAGCAAGAAGTCACAGCAGGCTCCCGACGGAACAGGCCATCCTGTGAGAGCTGGGGTCAGAAGGCTCAGTGATACTGTGCAAAGCACACGGCTTCAGCATCAGGCGCGGGCCAATAGTCACGTCTGGAGGACCTGGAGGCCAAGAGACTCATAGCTGGACACTTTCCAACTTGAACAGCTCAGTAAAGAGGTGGTGTACCTTCAGTCCTGCAGCCAGAGGGCCTTCCAACAGCCTCTCTTTGGCCAGCCCCCAAGCTGCCTGAGGGACCAGGAGAGCCTAAAGCGGCCACTGAAAGGGGCTATGCTGAGAAGCGAATGGCAGGAGCCCTCTGATCGCCTGGTGATTCTGCTGTATCAGAAATGGCCCGAGGTGGTTCCAAGAAGGGCCCTTCTTTGTACTTGGGGGAGGGAGGGAGGGGACAGACGGTCATGCCAAGGTGAATGGAGGGTGAGCAGCCCCATCCCCACAGAAAGACACAGGAGGCTGTAGCCCTTACCTTTAAGTCTCTATGAACGATAAGCTTCTGGTGGCAGTACTGCACAGCAGACACTATCTGAAAGGCAGGAAGAAGGGTCAGTCCAGGGCCCCTAACGGTGGGCCACACAGGGGCTGGCTGAGCTGGGATGCCAAAGCCCAAAGGACCCTCCAAACGGCAGCATCTCCTTCAAGCCTGAAAGGCAGAGGCCAAGCCCTCTCCAAGGTGCGAGGTTCTCACCTGGCGGAATTTGGCTCGAGCCTCTTTTTCTTTCATTCTACCATGAGCCACTAGGTAATCGAACACCTCTCCTGAAAGAGACAAAGCCCGAGAACTAGGTCAGAGCTCCTGGGGCTGGGAAGTGGAGGTGGGGAGAGGCGATGGCGCACCTACCTCCACTAGCGTACTCCATGACAAGGTAGAGCGTTTTCTCAGTCTCAATCACCTCAAACAATTTAACTGCAAGAGAAAAGGCCAAGCTAGGAGCCAAAGTGACAACAGGGTCACACATTGGGTCCCACCATGTCGGGGCCACCCCAGGGGTCAAAACACTCTCCTTTCCGCCTCCCACCCTCTCATTCCAGTTAGTTCTTAAGGGTGGTCTGGTGGGTCAGAGGAAGTGGCATGTTGAGTGAATCTGCAGTTGCAGAGACATCCAAGGCCCCTGCCAACGCTGCCTCGGGGAGAAGGCCTGGGCAGCCGTTCTCACCTATGTTGGGATGATTCAGAACCTTCATTATTCTTACTTCACGGAAGAGCTGGAAGAGAAAACACCAGGAGTCACGGCTGCTCCATAAGCAGAGTCAATAGTGCCATGATTCCTCCAAGAAAACCAGGGCGCTTGTCCAGACGGGTGAGCATTAGACAAGCTGAAAACTAGGCTGGACGCTTCCTCTGCTGACCTGCTACCCCAGCTTTGGCATGGGCACCAACCAGTTGGGTCCCCTGCCATAGCTGCCCCAATCCAGTCCCCACCAGTTGATAGGCCTGGGCAGGGAGCCTCCGGAGGAAGGCATGTGAGCCCATGGCCAGGACTCTTCAGAACCTGAGTTGCTTCTCAAGTTCAGTGACTAAAACAGGCGGCAGCGTGGCCTGAGTGCGGGCCAGGGAGTGCTGGTCAGCTTCTGATGACAGAAGTCAGAGGCATCAGAACTGCAGGAGAAGCCTTTCTTTCCTGGGCCTTTAGGACGGTGACAGAAGAGCCCATTCCTATATATAGCTGATGCCAATTTTAATCAAATCCACCTCCACACACTCACGCTCTTGGTGAAACAAGACCAGAGATTCCAAACCCTACATTTCCACAGAGAAAGAAGACAGAAACCAAGTTCTTCACCGCTGTGGGAGCCAGAGTCCTGAGGGTGTGGGCTTTGGTAACTTTGAGGCCCCACCCCCTGTACCGAGGAGTCTGGGGTTTGATTTTCTTTTTATTTCATGGCAGTTAAGACTCTGGAGCTGTAACTCAGGATATAGCTTATGGAAAAACAGAAGACACGTTTTCTCCCTCTTTGATTTAATGAGCCCCCAGAGCTCTTTTGAGTTGAGAAAGGGAAGAAGAGACTAAACTTCTAACCTTCAGGAACCTGAGGATGAGCCCAGGCTTTCCTTCCCTGGCCCAGCAGATGTCTCAGATGAAGAGGTAGCAGCGGGACAGGACTGAAGTGGGGGCTGGGGACAGATGACTGCAGGGGTCAGGAAGCTTCGTCTCAGAGCAACCTTAGAGCCCTCACAGTCACCAACCCTGTACATCTGCCTCTATTATTACTCACTTCACATTATTTGTTGTCTATCTCACTGAAAATGGAAGTGTCATGAAGGCAAGCATGTATCATTTATCCATTGAGCAGGAAGGGACAGTCTTCAGGGGAGCACCAAAGCTTCCTGGGGCTGGTCTCAAACCCAGAGGTGACTAGTTTCTTCAACGCTCTTCTAGGAATCGTTGCTGTGATCAGATGTAAGCAGAATGTTTTGGCCAGATTCAAATGGGCCTTGATGATGGCATGTGCTCAAGGAGATTCAAATGGCGCCTTAGACTGGTGCCTTCCAGGCAGTCAGGAAGAGGCAGGGAGAACTAAGTGGTGAAGAAATAAGAGGGCTTGGCTGAATACAGGGATTATTCCAAAAACAAGTCGACTGCATCAAATGGCCCAAACCAAGCTGGGAAGGACAGCCATGGTTCCTTCAAACCAAAGGATCCTTGAGGAGCCACTAGGGTATCTCAAGTCACACACACTAACTCTGTGAGCATCTATCTCCATCACTATCAGTGCCTCACTGCATTTAACTCCCAATATGATGGACTGACAGAATGGCAGCAGCAATGGGCTCAAACACGACAACAATCCTGAGGATGGCGCAGGACCAGCCGTGTTTGCTTCTGTTGTACACAGAGTTGCTAGGAGTCTCAACTGACTCGATGGCACTTAACATTCCCCGCCCCGACTCTGACACTACAATGTGGTCAAGAAAAGAAAACCTCAACCTACCACCAAATGAAAGGAGCTCTGGTAGCGTAGTGGTTATGAACAGGGCTGCTAACCTCAAGGTCAGCAGTTCAAAACTACTAGTCATTCCATGGGAACAAAGATGTGGCTTTCTGCTCCCATAAAAATTTACAGCCTTGGAAACCCTACGCAGGGCCACTATGAGTCAGAATCGACCCCACGGCACATAACCACCCCCACCACAGAATGAAAACAATGGAGGAGGTTAATCAAGGTCAGAAAATGTGGGGCAGGGGCAGATGGAGCCTTAAAGTACAATGGAAATTTGAATGACCAGATGAAGGGCAGCTTTCTGGGGCCTTTCTGTTGTCTTTCCTCTGATTGCTGACAACCAGGGTGGGAGGAAAAGGTATAGAGTTTCGAGTTTCAAAACAGGCACTTGCAGGCTTTCCCTCTTCTGCAAATGACAATCAACTTCCTATCTGTGCTCATTCCTATGAGCATTTCATAGTTTCCTGGGCCTGAAAGGAGGTGATCCTACTTGGGGGTACCCATCTACCACCTATGTAAGACCCCTGTTTTCCAGAATGAGACAAGAAGAAAAGTAAATGTTCAGCTTCATCTAGAGCTCCAGTCAAGCTTCTTGTGGAGCCTCTGCAGAGTATATGACCTTAAGTGGGCTCCTGAGTCCCATCCAGAACCTTCTGAGGTAGGTCATTTCCACTAGAAAGAACAAGCAGACCAGGCTGGAGCAGCTAGAGCAACAGAGGATACTGCTTCAAAGAAAGATCAGCAGGAAAAATCCAAAACAAAAATGGCAGTATGATGAAATATGAACAAGCAAGTTGTTCGCTGGGGAGCCATCAAGGCAAGCAATCAAGGCCCTTTAGGACAAACCTGCCTCTAAGACTGAAACTCAAAGGGAACACATGAGCAGGCATGTAAGCTTGATGGCGACCACGTTGGTCTACTGGTGAGTGGAAGAGGGGGAAAGGCAGCAATGAAGAAATGGGCTGAGTTCAACCATGTTCCAGAGACTCCCGTTGACCTGGAGATGAGAGAGAGAAGAGGAAGGGCTGGTTGGTCCCAAGTGTGGTGAGACCTGGGGACTCCTGAGCCCATGGACAAGAACATAGTCAGGGAGGGGTAGAGCTGAAAGTGAAGTGTTCAGCTGTTATGAAGTGAGGGGAGATGTACAAAAACACCCAAACTTTCAGAGACTTTCCATTTGACCTAGCCTTGATGGCTTGATAATCAGAACTCAACTAGAGGAAGACAAAAAAAAAATTTTTTGATGAAGAAAATGAGTGTAAATTGTTATAATCTGATGAACTTGACTATACTTATGGATGTAGTAGCTCAAGGTACCAAGTGAGAGAGAAAGAGTCTTCACATCGAGTATCAATCCTATCCCCTCTGTATACAGGGTAGATAGGAACGGGCAACTCAGACACTGGCTACCTAAAATGAGGGGGCAATAGAGGCACGAAGTGACTGGCTTACAAATTTTCAAAAAAAGGGAGGTTAGTTTAAGAGTGTGTGGGAGATGGTAGAGTCCCCATTGAATAGTTCTCATCTTGTCTAGACGGGTCTGGTGAAAGGAGATGGGGACAGGAGTCTTGCGAATCAATAGTGATTAACTGTTATCATGACTAATTGCGGCTGTCACAACTGTAAAGGTAGAAGTTTTGTAACAAAAATGGGGGAGTAATCTTATAGTCCAGAAACGAGGACCTAGGACCATCAAGGGAGAAGAGCACAAGCGGAATGTGGGACCCAATTCAGAGAAGCAGCGACACTAGAGATGGAGGCAGAGATGAGGACATGGAGAGAGAGAGCAGCTGGACTCTGGGCTCATGGAAAGAAAGGGACTGAGTGATGGCGGCCAGGAAGCAAACTAGCAGAATGCACCCTTTGTTTGTTTAAATTATTATATATTCCTGAGTGTTTTTGTGTACATTCCAGCCCCCTCCCCCCCCCCAAAAAAAGAGGGACTGGAACTAAATAATGTTGAATAATGATACACGGAAGTGATTGTAATCATTGCAATAAAACGATGGTATAAAGCTGATGTTCTCCCATGTAAACTATTATTCAAGAGTACAACGAAAACTTAAAAAAGAAAAAAAGAGCCTATAGTCCAAAGAGAAATGGAATTTATCTTCTGAAGCCCCCCACCCCCCCTTTGGCAGTGTTTCTCTAAAGGCAGCTTCCCTTTGTATTTCTAGAGCCACTCCCCACTCACTACAGATCTGAGGTGCATGGGTTTCTAGTATTGACTACAAACATGTGTTTTTGCCTAAGGTTGGCTCCAGGCCAGAAGATAATAATGAGATGTAGGAAGTAGGTCAGACAGGTAGGCCAAATGGCTGGGGAAGGGCAGAGTGATGTCAGAAAAACCACTGCCTCAGGCCAGAAAGCCCACCCAGGAGGAAGCATCCATCATCACAGGGTGCCAGCAGAGCCATGGGGGGTCGGGGGTCCTGGGACAATGAAATGGCCAGAGATTTTAAACTAGGGACCAGGAAATCAGTGACCTCTGGAGGGGCTAGAAAGGACAGAACGGTGTGCAAGCTTACTTTCTGGAGGCTGGAGGAGTTCAGCTGAGTCTTATCAATGATCTTCACAGCCACCTGGAAGTGAGAAATAAGCCAGTTACTTCTTTGGCCAGGCAGAGCCCACAGCTCCCTTCTACTTTCTCCCTTGTATTTCCCACACCCTTTTCCCCCATCGCTTTAACACCCCAGAGGCTCAGCTCTCAACAGGCTGTGAGAGTAGCACCCACCCGCACCACCTGCTGGAGGGTCATCAAAGTCAGGAGATCCTGCCATGGCCCCCTACCCTAGAGCTCACCTCTTTCCCAGTCAGGATGTGCCGGGCCAACTTCACCTTGGCGAAGTTACCCTTGCCAATGGTCTTTAGGAGCCGGTAGTTGCCAATATGGGGCTGCTCATCGGCAGAGGTGACCAGGTTGCGGCCCCGCAGCATGTTGGACTTGCTGCTGGGCTTGGAGTCCAGATGTCCCCCGGTGGGCTGCAGGACCAGACACACACCATCAGGCAGGCTGCCATCATCAGGCACTTGCCCAAACCCTGCCCTCAGCACTCTACGAACCAGGAAGAGGCTGGAATGCAGAGGTGACTCCAGAGGGCTGGCAGGCATGCAAGAGACCATAAAGTGGGAGCAAAGAAAAGAGACAGGCCTGAGAGGGCCAGACTGCCCTCCGAAAGAGACAGCATGAGATCCAGTGGCCAGATCCTGTGGGCGTCTGAGCTCAGGCTCTGAGTGTCCCATCACTGGCTCCACCACCTGGCAAGACTACCCCACCTGAGTAACCCAAGAGCTCCTTCACCTCCTGTGGGAGACCTAACACCTACTCTCCTCCCTGTTGCTGCTCCTATCACAGCCTCCTTCCTGTGTGCTCAGATACAGGAGACCAGGGTCAGAGCACTTTAGAGTCCTCAAGACCATCAACCCTTCATGTCTGCCTTTACTACTGATTACCTCCCATTTACCTCCCATTTACTTAAGGTCTGTCTAGTCCAGCACAACAATGGAACATTCGCTGATACAGTAGGCAGTGGCAGTGGCGACAGCAGTGGTGGTATGCCATGGAGTCAGTCCGACTCATAGCAACCCTGCACAGGGTTTCCGAGGCTGTAAATCTTTATGGGAGCAGAAAGCCTCATCTTTCTCCCATGGAACAGCTAGCAGTCTCACACTGCTGACTCTAAGGTTAGCAGTCCAATTCGTAACTACTATGCTACCAGAGTTCTTTTACATATCGTTATTCATGGATACATCCCGCACCTAAATAGAGAGCAGCTCGTGGGAGATTGCTCAATGAATGATTATGCCAGGAGCAAACTGAATAACCAGGTCCTGTTCTGTCCTCCTTAGACACCTTGTAGCTCAAATAAGATGGTGACAAAGCAAAAGGGGCAACGATTGTCACCAACCAGGTCTATAAACAATAATGGAAAAAGGAAACCACATGTCCATATATACTGGAAACTAGCACGTCTCTCTGTCAGTGTGCCCTACTGTGGTGCCTTGGGTGTTGTGATGCTGGAGGCTATGCCACTGGTATTTTAAATACAGGCAGGGTCACTCACGGTGGGCAGGTTTCAGCGGAGTTTCCAGACTAAGACAGACTGTTTAAGACATTGTAAACCTTATGAGTAGCCGTGGAACATTATCAGATACCGTACCTAAGATGAAAGTATCGTGAACAGCAGCAGACAGCAGTAATCTAAGGCTCAAACGTAACAACAACCGTGAGGACGGTAAGGGGCTGGGTAGGGTTTCGTTCTGTTGTACGTAGGGTTGCTATGAATCCAAACCTGAACAGTTAGAGTCCTTATATGACGGAGGAGTGAGGTGGCGGGAGTCTTGGCGTGCCACTGCAGAATAACGCACATGGTCAGTTTGAACCACAAGGTCGGCAGTTCAAACTCACCAGCTGCTCCTCGGAAACCCTTTACAGGGTCGCTATGAGTCAGAATCAGCCGACTTGATGGTACTTAACAACAAAAACACCTGGTGTGGCGCTGTAGGATCCACCCTAAAATTCTTGCCACAATGTTGGTGGTTCAAACCCACAAGTGCTCCTTGGAAGCACTATATATAGGGTCGCGAAGAGTCGGAACCAACCTGACCACACTTATAACAACACCATATGATCCAGCAATTCTTCTCCTAAGCATGAAGGCAAGTCAAAAATCACCTGCAGTCCGGTTATATTAAATGCCCATCCACGCCCATGGCTGATGCCTACACTGAGTGAGCCGTGAAATGATCCTGTCAAATAGATAAGTGACCGTGGATTAGGTGGTAAATCATCTGCAAATCAGCCGTGGCTCTGCCTATGAAATCATCCACACCAACTTGGGTTCCAAAAAGTTTGTACGAACTGAGTACTGAAACAACTCACGGAAGAGCCTAAAGCGAAGTATTTGGACATCTGCAAACAAAATTTGGACTGATGCTCAATGGAAGGTAAAAGTTTCTTCATCACTACAAGCCTGAGAGTAGAGGTAAGAGTGTGGAATAGAACATTCTCAATCGCCCACCAAGAAAACGTTCAAAAGTCCACCATCAGCTGGGAAATTGATGCTTACAGTTTTCTGGGATTCTCAAGGACCAGAATTGGAACACTATTAGATAAAGATTCAACAATCAACAGTGCTCATTACAGTGAGATGTTCACTGAAGAGCTGAAGCCTAAACTTCGGTATTAAACACAGAGAGGACTGCTATTCAAGGGCATTGTGATCATGCATGACAGTGCACATCACACACCTCTACCCTCACTGCTGACACTCTGCAAAAACTTCCTTTTCAGGTATTAAAGCATCCTCCCTACAGTTCAGATTTTGCTCCTTCAGACTTTCACCTTTTTGGTCCCCTGAAAGCAGTACTTTGAGTATGAAGATTAGCCTCTGATGAAGACGTGAAGACAGAGGTGCATTCGTGGCTTGTAGCTCCACCTAAAACATTTTTTAAAATGATGTATATCTCTTTCCTAAAAGTTGATTAAAATAAATTCTACAACCAGAATGCAGATAATTTTTGACCCACCCTCGTATATTCCTAAAGGAAATGGAAATGTATGCCTATACAGAAACTTGTTCCCAGCAGCATTAGTCCTACTAGCCAAAAATAGAAACAACTCCTGGGCATCAAGGGATGAAGGGATAACAATTTGTGATCCATCTATACTGTGGATTCTGGTAGGCCCTACCTCATGGATACATTTTAAAATGATGCTAATTGAAAGAATCCAGAACACAAAGACCACAGATTAAAAGATTCCATTGGTGTGAAAGGCCCAGAACAGCCAAGTCTACAGAGACAGAGAGCAGACCAGTGAATGCTGAGGGCTGGGGGACCAGAGGGTGAAAACCTAGGAAGTAAGGCCTTCATTCTGGGGGAATGAAAATATTCGAATACTGACTGTGGTGACAGATGCACATAAACTGTGAATTTATTAAAAGTCACTGAATTATAGTGACTTCAAACAGGTGAACTGTATGGTGTGTGAATTTTATCTCAATGAGGCTGTTTTTCAAAAAAGACTGGGGTGTGTGCTTGTATGCAAATACTCAGAATAGCCTCCAAATGGAAACAATATACATGTCTATAGCTGCCGTGAATGGACTACTACTCAGAAGTGAAAAGGAAAGAACTATTCATACACTCAAGGACATGGAAGAACCTCAATGGAAGACGCTAGCTACAGAAGATTATAGAGAAGGCAAAACCACACAGACAGAAAGCAAAGCAGGGGTCAGGCAGGGCAGGAGTGAAGGAGACTATACACAGGCACCAGTGGACTTCTGAGGTGGAGGGGGGACTCTAAATCTTCACCAAGGTGGGGGATGCACAACAAAAATGCAGAGAGCGCATTTTGTGCTAAGTTATGCTTCAACAAAGCTGTCGAGGCAGAGTCTGGTCAAACTCTTGTTCAGAGAGAGCTCAGGCTTAAGGGCTCTCAAAGAAGCCCTGAGGGTATTGTTCCAGAAAACTGGGGCAAACTGGGGCAGGGCTGCAGCCAGAACCACCCAGAGCTGCCTTGGCTGGAAGCAGAGGGCGACAGGCAGGTGAATCAAAGCCCCCATCATGGCCCTCAACACCACAGCTTCAAAGGAGCTGCTTGCTACCACCTGAGTGGAGAAGCTTAATTAAGCAAACAGATGCTTTTCAGGCAAGAAAACAAAAAAGAACACCACAAGCTAAGTCTTCTGATATTTCCCCCCTCCTTCATTATGTTAACATAAGGCCTTCCTCTCTCTTCTTAAAATTTCATTGTGGTTAAGTTCTGTGCAACAAAAAGTGATCATTCAAACTATTTTAAGGGTACTACAACTCAGTGGGGAGCTCTGGTAGCGTGGTGGTTACGAATCGGGCTACGAACCTTATTTAAGGTCAGCAGTTTGAAACTACCAGCTGTTCCGCGGGAGAAAGATGAGGCTTTCTGCTCCCGTAAAGATTTACAGCCTCGGAAACCCTGTGCAGGGTCGCTATCAGTCGGAACCGACTCCACAGCACACAACCACCACAACTCAGTGGGAGTCCTGGTGTGGCACTGTGGGTTAGTGCACTGGACTGCAAAGTCGGTCACCATGGTTACCAGGGTCACCATGGGTCAGAACTGACTCCATAGCACTTAACAACAATTCAGTGACCTTCACTGCATTCCTGTGTTGGCCAGTCATCACCACTATCCATTTCCAAACGTTCTCAACACATACATTTAGTATCCCGTAAGCAATAAGTCCCCAACCCACCTCCCCACAGCCCCAATAATCCTAAAAACTTGACTCTGTGCAGATATTCAAGCTAGTTCGTGTAAGTGAGATCAGACACTGTCTGTCCTTTTGATGCTGTTGTCAAGGGCCATCCATTTATTACAACTTCATTTCTCTTTTTGGTTGAGTCAATACTCCATTGTATGTACATTGTATTTATCCATTCATCTGCTTATGGACACTTGGGTAGTTTCTACTGTTTTAGCTAGTGTGAATAATACTGCAATGAACATTTATCGGGGTTTTTCCTTTCTCTTTGCATAGCAGCTGCTGCCTGCTGTTTTGGTGACCTGTTTGACCCAGATCCCAGAAGCATATGGGGTTGAACCTTTGAAGAGAAAGATCCTATGCATGTGGCACATTTTAAAGGGGGAGGTTCCTGAAACATCCAAAGAGTCTCTTTCAACCTCCTCAGCCCTTTGAAAGCATTCTCTCTTCACCAAGTGCTCATGGGCCTTCATGTCTACTTGAAGTCTCGCTCCAAAGTCTTTGTGGTCCATCTTAGCCAAGGAGCTACCGTTTCCTCTGTTCTCCACACATTCTGCAGCTTACCTAAGCCTGATTGGTTCTCAAAATCGCATTCACTAGACAAATAAATTTTCAAACACCTGCTTTTTTTCTCTCTAAAAGAAACTCTAGGGTTCACACACCTTGGAAAGAAGGGCATTTCTAGGTCCTGCTGGCCCCTGCATTTGGGTCAGTCTACTGAACAACTAATTAACT